AATCACACATTTTTCAAAAAAACACTATTCCAACCATTAAAATTTGACAAGAATGGGGGCCAAAAGGGGGCATGCCTCACTCAGACATTACTTCATATATAGTTAATGCCTAGCCCCATGCAAAAGTCTATATACATGCAGTATATTACTTGGAAAATCCAAATAAAACCCAATTTAGTAATTAGTTAAGAAAATGACAGAAATAGTTAATGAACCAAATTAGGATTAATTTTTTTTTTTTTTTTGTTTTTTGTTTTTTGTTCTTTTTCTTTTGATGAGCCAGGTAAGGAACAGATTTAACTAAAATGTGAATAAGAACAGCTTATAAGTATGTCTAAATTAAGTCAGTCGGGAAGTAGATTAATCCATTAAAAAACTACTTTATGTAAAATGTAAGAAAAGAATTGAAAACCATAGTTTTGCCTAAGTATTTGTCTTATAATTCAAGGATCCATCCATCTCTTCCACCTAACTAAGGAAAAAAGACATGACAGCAAATGCCCTTATCACCTATAAAATGTTGCGTTGGCCAGTTCTATCTATCTGACTGCAACAAGCTAGAAAGACATATCAACTCAGAGAGAGAGATTTACCAATAGGAAGAGAGGAGAGGAAACTCGGCTTAACGAGAAATATAATGCAGACATGGATTCGAGTTTTGATCCTCGTAGGATGTCTCTTTCCTGCATTTGTCGAATGCAGGGTTCGCCATTACAAGTTTAATGTAAGTATATTGTATATACTTTATAGCACATTTTTTTTCATTCTACCCATTCGTAACATTTGATAAACAATACTAGTGTGTTGTGTACATTAAATTGAACAAATAGAGACAACTTTAAAAGGTTTGTCGGTTATCCAACGAGTCTAACGTACCAAACATGTGTACCTTGTAAATTCTATACCTATGGGGAGCAAAAGAGAGTGATATAGAATATTTAAAATTTTTGAATTCGAGCTCGCATAAAATATTTTGTATATATACGACTGAACATGCATGCAAAATTCTTTTTATTTCTAATTTTTGGTAAAGGAAAACAATTTGATTAATTATTCTCTCGTATATACTCTATGCATCGTCAGGCAATTGCTAATCGAAAGGGTAAGTCCAATTAGCTAAGTTGGTTAAGCAAATTTGTAAAGAAATGGAGAAAAATGTCAAAATGATACCAATCACGGAAAGTACAACCACATATCGATTCGGATGCCTTAATATTTACTTTTTTTATTACCATCTAACAAAAAAAAGTTACATTTTCTACGTTCCTGGGATTTTCAAATTCTAGACACAATTTTAATGGCCAATGGCTTTCATGTGCAGGTGGTGATGAAAAACACTACTCGATTGTGCTCGACGAAACCAATAGTAACTGTCAACGGAAAATTTCCAGGTCCCACGATCTATGCGAGGGAAGATGATAAAGTGCTTGTGAAGGTCGTCAACCATGTGAAATACAATGTCTCTATTCATTGGTAAGATACTAAGTTACTTAAAAATATATATATATATTGCAACTTGCGTATGCTATGTGCCTATCGGCCTTGTAAATTTACATACTTCTTTCCAATCGTAGGCATGGTGTAAGGCAACTTCGAACAGGATGGGCAGATGGTCCGGCATATATCACGCAATGTCCAATCCAGCCAGGCCAAAGCTATATATACAACTTCACCATCACGGGCCAAAGGGGCACGCTACTTTGGCACGCTCATATTTTGTGGCTCAGGTCCACAGTCCACGGCGCCATAGTCATCTTGCCTAAGCTTGGTGTCCCATATCCTTTTCCCAAACCCGATCATGAACGCGTGGTTATCTTGGGTAAGGATGGGATAGCATGTTTGGTATGCAATACTAGATTGGATTGGACTCGACAGTATAACAAATAAGATTTTAACTTTTTTTTTTTTT